CCTGGGGCAACAGCAGCCTATCACCTTACAGCTTGTTTCATGTCACACCTGCAAGAAAATCAATTATGAACCTGTCATCTTTTGGCAAACTGCCCAGTTCTAAAGTTTATGATGAATGTCACACCCGCAACAAAGTGCAACCCTCCTTGCCTGGCTGAGATTGGTGCTGTGATGTACGCAGCAAAATGAGCCAGCTGCAAAAAAGGTGAAAACCAGGCTTCACAGTTCAAAAAGCAGGTGTCGTCCAATCAAGCATGCGCTCGAAGCTGTCGTCATCTCTACGCCAACCATGATGTAACGCATGAGTCTCGATGAGAAATGCAGCCTTTTCCGCCTAGCCAACGTGGGTGCCTGAGCACTCCGTCACAAACCGCTTGTAGAGCCTCGGACATGCTAGTGGCTGAATTTACGCAGGCAGTCCAACCTTATCAACAGCTTCTTTGCCGAGGCGCGCAGTTGCGTGCCGCTCCCGTGCCTGCCACGAAATATGTCATGCACGAATCGGGACGCCTCAAAACGGTGCGAATACGGGAGGTCCTCAATCACGCTTAGATGTCATGATGACATGGGTCAAGAATGGTCAAAAACTGCACAACCCGCAGCGCCCGCAAATGTACTCAACTGCAAAGGCGTGTAATACTGTATATTGCACGACGGTGGCAGAGGCAAGCTTGATATAGTCCCTGATCAGACCAAGCAGTGCGCTTGAATGCGGCGCACGTACTACTTTCCTGGACTCTGATTATGAACTTGAAGCAGAAATGGACTGTGGCTAGCACCAAGCAATCCTGAGTTCAGTAACCTAGTTTCCCAGACTTTGCTGCACCAGGTTGAAGAGTCGTGATCGTGTATAGCATGTGCACATCACCAGGCACCACGAGCCAAGATTACCTCCCAGCTTCCTCTCGCCAACTCTCCACTCCCGTCCCTTCAGCAGAAGGCCGCAATGCTTGACGCGCTGTATGCTGTCATAAACGCTTCACCAAGAGCCCTTCTACATGCTGCATGCGCTCGAAAATCATGAGAAAGGGAAGGGATTGGGGAAGGCAGTGGACTTCTCCTAAGCTGATTCTGCCGCGAACTCATCCCGCTGAAACTCTCGCTCATGAATATCTTGCATCACAAAGGTCCCCGTGCCTCTCCGAACAAAGTCCTTTCAGTTTGCTGCGGAAGGCAACAGCCAAGGTTGAGGACAGTGGCGCGCACAGCACAAGAAACGCTGCAAGCCGCCTGAATGGGCCATCCGGACAAGACTTCAGCACGCCGAATTTTGGCGGCATGCGAATACTCTGCGGTGGGAGCCTGCAAATTCGAGGCCCGTCTGCCAAGGTGAGAGAAACGCAGCTTTTGAAAGCGCTTAGGCCAGAGCGATTCACCGGACGGTGCCTGGCAACACCAACACCCTCCCCCTGAAACATCCAAAGGATCGCAACGGAAAGCGTTAATGTTGCTAGCGGATGTTGTTGAGAGGCACCATTATATGGAACCCTACAGACCGTTTGCTGACCTTTCCAGCTAATACAGATCCAAGACACATATTTGAAGGTGTAGACCTTGGCTGCAGCTCCACTGAGAGAGCTACCAGTAGGCTCAAATGGCTCACGTAAGGATGCTCTGTGCCATCATGTGTTCAGCATTCTCTAAGGCTCTGAGGTCCTGTCCATATCTGCATCGGCTCTTTGCACGTTGTAGCCTTCTCCTTGACCAGGCCGTCTGTACCTCGTCTGCTCCGCTCAAGGTTCAATGCTGGCATCCTTCCACTGAACGACAAAGCTGGCAGTCATGCCAAAGGAATCCTGTCTCTGGAAAGTGTCAGAAGCCAAGACGCACATCCCTCTTGTCTCCATACGAACGGCCGTATCTGTGCAGGTGCCAATCCAGGAAGGGCATCCTAAGTGAAGGGTATCAGCACTTGTGCAGTGTCAGTGTAAGTCTTCGCACTTCGGGTGGCAAAGTAAACAGAACACCATGCCGTTGGCCGAGCGGCGTCTCAATGTGAACAAACTCGTTCTCCTGGGCTGACTCCATGATATAGAAAGCTCTCACCTGAAAGAAGGCATCATGAACACCATATGACACAGCAAATTGCAGTGTAGGGCGGTTACTCCCACTGCGCCTTTGCTGGAAGAGACCTGGACATGTCAAGCTTTTTAAGGTCTTGCAGCACAGTCCTTGCGGTTAAGAAACCTTCACCAGACCGCCGGGCTTCATGAACGAGCGGAGAGCTCTGAAGAAAAGTCTCATGAGATTTTCGTGGCGCCAATTGACGCATGGGTGACCTGAGCCAGGGCTGTTGCAATTACTCCTGATCCAACTGGTTTCAGACACAGCGTGAGCTATCCCATGCAGGTAGGCGACCGTCAAAGAAGCCACTGACGGCACCCGCATGTGGGAAATTGTAATAGATCGCTCCGAGGCTGCCCTGTGCACACCATCATAAGATGTGCAAAGAAAAACAACTCACGTACGGCGGCCTCCATGCCTTGAAAGCGGTTGTCAACTGCAATCCGAGTGCAATCCACACCATGGTAGACCTCAGATTCTGACAATGTGATGCTTTGGTGACGCGTTGGCAAAATGCCCTTTAGCAAGCCTCAGCGTAGAGATCTTCCAGGATCTTGATGGTGCTGTCTATTTCCTGCGTCCATCCGGACAAGCTTGCACAAAGCTAACCCAGTCTGCGACTACGGCTAGACACCTACCTTAGAAATCATGCATAGCGATTCCGCAAGGTTTGTGTTGACTGCGCTATCAAATACCCTCTGGCCTTCCAAGACATCAAGCCCGCATGCGGCATTAGTTTTTAGTTGATACTGATTCCCAGCTGCAAATTAAGAGGACCGGAGAATACTCATACAGTCCAACCTAGCCCAATGTAACCATGGCAGTTTAGCTGGATGATCATTGAAGTTATCATGCCTTCCTCGTGCTGATGGGGTCTGCAACATCTTCTGTGACATTGGACATGACAACGCTGTAGCGATTGTCCGTTGCGTCTACCTTTGCTAGCTAGACATCCTGCAAAAAGTTGGGGCTGTGTACTACCAATGCCCCTCCCGTATTGCACTGCATGCTCCGCCTGGTAGCGTTCGCGCAGACATTCTAGCGTCTCAAAGGTGGTCGCAATGACTCGACCAACATGACCCAGCGCCTGTTCGAATACTCAAAGGAGACAAGCTGAATGCAAAATCCAACGGCCACCACGCTGCCTCCCTGTGCTTTGCCAGCTTTAAAGCCTTGCAGAACAGCTCAGGGAGCTAGCAGCAAATGAGGGGGGCATGTCTTTTACAACAGCCGGCATCTCTCAGCCGGCAACAAAGGAAAGATTGGCATCTCCGAAAACAGCGCAGTCTGCCAAAGGATCAATGAGCTCCAAGCGGTTGAACCTGATAATGCCAAGAAAAGGTAAGGTGGCAGAGCCGCCTGCATCTGCACTAACGGAGTCCGGCCTTGAGATGACCTGCACGCCTGGCTCGTCCGGCAGCGTGCCTTCCGTGATGGACTCGTCAGCCACAGAGGCACTTGCCTGCGGGAGCATGTCCTCCAGGCAACCCAGGACTCTCTGAGAGCCCCAACAGTCTTACAGAGCCAAGCTTGAGGGGCAGCCGAGGCCAGAGAAAGCGAGCGAGGTCCAAGGGTAGTGAGCACTACACAGGAGGAGTGGTGAGGTTTAACGTAGCCACCAAGCATGATGTCTTCGCACCGTGGCAATGCAAATGTGGTGAGCGAAGCGGGCGGGCGTAGCACAAAGCCATGAGCGGAATACGAATGCATCAATTCCGACCCATTTCCCGGTGCATTGCATGTGAACGAATCAATTTCAAGCACCTGCTCTCCTCCCCACCCTCCCCCGACCCGTAAGCTCAATTGCTGTTTGCAAGAATGGAGATCAACCACCCGGAACCTGTGACAGAACCAGACCTCGTCTGCCCCTACTACTGCTACAGCAGTCCTAAGCCGAACTCCAGCCGTAGGATCAACATGGAGTCGGACATTATGAGATCACGAGACAGGACGTGAACCCTGAAGCATGGACATCCCGAGAGGAACAAAAATGCAAAATCCTGCGGAGTATATACAAAAAGAAAGGGTTGACGTCGGCAGCTGGGTAGTGGTGAAACCCCGCCAACTCAGATGTTGGTGGGACAGCTTTCAGCCTGTTTGTATAGTGCACTCTAGCTACAAGTAGCATTGTTGTCCTCCAGTGACATCTCACCATCGTACTCCTGGCGAAGCTTACCACATTGGCTTTAGGGTCTCAACACAAATATCCTGCGGCATTTATTTCTGCAAGCTTCAAGCTGAGTCGGTGTCCTTCATGATGTAGCGCAGTTCCTTGTGTGTCAACTTCCGCAGTATTGCCTGTCCAAACAGCTGAAGGTCGCTTACAGCTCCCGAGCACATCCTGAGCTCCCTGCATCTTGATCCACGTTCAATTTCCACTTGTGTCGAAACGACGCAATAGCATCAGCAGCTCCTACACCTGCACCCTTTCCTTGGCTGTGATCTTTCGAAGGTAGAGGTGCAAATGGTAAAGAAATTGATCCAAAGCCACTGTCTTTCAGTGCAGCAATCTGGCAAAGGATGAGCTCTCCAGGGCCTCGCCACCTGAACATGTGGCCAACTACAAGTCGCAACATGTCGAAACTCAATCCTTTGTGGTGGGTCTTCCTGACAAGTCACTGATTGAACTTGTCGGGGACATAGGAATCGTCCAGCATCTGCGCATGAGATGTAAAAACACATCAACCAAGACTGCAAGCAAAACCAGCCACCTCAAGTTCCTCCGGCGTCAACGTTTCCAGGACATGTCTGGTGACCTTGTCCTGCTCAGCATAGGCATGGGGATGCGAACTGAACTGCCGACAAATTGTTCACAGAGCGCGTGATTGTGATGATCATGTCCTGAAGAAGGCCCCATCGTGTAAGCAGCTGTTGGATTCTGACCTGAACGTAATGCTCACTGCACTGCGACCAGCAGCGCTGACCCGGTGGTCAACCTCATCAGCTGCCGGGGTTGCTGAGTCCTTGGCATCACTGCATAATGAAATGCCAGGACGCTTCCGCCAGCAATCGAAGCCCTGGGGCCGCGCACCTTCTTAGTGCGACGCTTCTTGCCATTCAGTGCTTCTTCTGGAGCCTGGTCATCAGCTCAAGGCTTCAGTGGCCCGATGAGGCCCGATTCACTGGGAGGCTGCCCAAAAGAGTCGACAACAGCCGCTTAACACGCAGGCACCTCGTCATCTTGAGACAGCAAACGCTTGAGGCGCAAGGTACCTGCAGACACTGATACACACTGATTGCTGATGATTGCTGAAATTCTTGAATTTAATGACACTGCAAGAGCTGGAATAGCACCTTCGACTGCATCCATCAAATGATCCTGAACTCCTTCGTTATCCTCGTCCTCATCCACCTCACAGAAGCAACGGAGCAACAGCCCGCAGGACACGGGATGCGCTGCGGAGGGAACCAGAAGGAGTGGAGCAAAGCTGCCAAATGCCTCGGCCGCAACCTCCACTCCAAGGAGGTCGGTGCCAAGAACTTCCGCTTCCAGCTCCAGGACCTCCTGAAATGTCGAATGATCATGCCATGCCCCATCCCAGCAAGTTTCTTCTGAAAGCTCCTCGGGTAACTCCTCGGCGAGCCCCTCTGTGAGCCCCTCTGCGAGTTCCTCCGGGAGTTCCTCCACGGTGCCATCCGCAACCTCCTGGCCAAGGCCCTCAAGGTCGGGCACCTGCAGTTTGGAGAATGACTCAAACAACCTTCAGACGCCACAAATCCGTCCTCTTCAAGGGCTCCTTCAGCAAGCAGCAGCTCGTCATCTGCAGTGCCATCCTCATCAGGCCGCAGAGTACGTACGATGAAAACATGTGTTTTGGATAGTTAACTCTTAGTTACTTCGACAGTTCGTGCAATGCCTTGAAACTTAACAAGTTAGGTTGAATGAATTTCCCGTCCTCAATGATCTGGACTTCATCAACTTCCTGCTGTGAAATTGTCAGCTTGGAAACCAAATCAACCACATCCACCAAGCAGATTGCTGGCACAAGCTCTGGGCACCTCAAGCGCTTTTTCTAAGTCCCCATCATGATACTCCTGAGCCCAGGCAGAGTTTTAAAAAAATAGATGCAAAAAGATGGACGCCAAAGCCCAACCTCGAGCTGTGCAACGTCTCCATTTTCTGACGTCCCTGCCATCTCCTACACGGCAGAATGATCCTGGAGCTAGCAAAGCACATGCAGCATGCCCCAATCAGTCAAGCATCATGTATACACTCCAGTCATTTGTCCAACATGTTGATTCCCGCCAAGGTGCTTGTGTGCTCTTGTACCCCTGCCCTGGCCAGGCTATCCGCTTGATGCTTTTTACATGACGTTTAATGCAGGCACATGATGTTTTCAAATAGAAATCAATAAAATGGGCCAATGGCTTGTAAGCGCAGCCGACCACGTGCCAGCCGTACTGGTTTGGCTGAAGCAGGTTGCAAGCACTAGCAGCTGACAATGACGTCGTGATGCGAATTGAAACATGCCTAAATGCCCTCTTCTGTCAAAGACTCCTTTTTCTCGCTTCTTTGCTGAGCTTGTGTCAAGACTAAGCTTCATAAAATGCCGAGGGGGCACGTTGAGCTGCTTCTGATCCTGACTACAGCACGTCCATCCACTCCGTTCTTTTGGTGAGCTCTCAGCCTCTTGGAGGAAGTGTGTTGGACGCACAGATAAAGCAAAGCTGCTGCGGCTAATGAGAGCTATTAGCTTCGGTCTTGCAGTGAGAGAGCTTTCGCGAGGGCTTCATGTCTGGAGAGAGCACTCTCACCTGCAATCTTTGGTGAAACCACTCATCAGCTTTGAAGACTTCGCTGAAGTAAGCCCATGGTCATGATACTAGAAACGAAAGAGGAGGGAGGCAGAGAAGTCTTCAGAGCACGCATGGAGCTGCATCTGCGGGGAGGTCTACGTAGGGCGAGCAGGGAGGTCTGGTGGGCTCAGCTGGTCGTCCTGGATCTAACCTGCAAGTGCTACAGCCCATCGCGATCTGCAGAGGTTCGTTGCATCTCATGGAGGAGTCAATTTAACTGCTTTTGCTGGCCCGCAACCTTTGCCAAATGATTTTCCACCCATCATTGGCCTGCCATTCAATGAATTTGTTTTCCAAGCATTCAAGATACAAGGAAGCTTGCTTGCCTCGCTGGTCCCATTCCGCCCATCATGGGACCCTTTCCTGCAGAGATCTCCAATTTTGCAAATGCGGCAGGCCTACGCGTCAAACATGTTGAGCCTCCACACGGGCCACCTTTACAGCCCTCGGATGGCAAAAGCCGCAGAGGTTGAAATGCCATGGCCATAAAAAGACTGTAAGGCTCTGGCACCTTTTCCCATGTAGCCGCAACCTCCTTTGCCGCAGGGGCCAGGGCCGCAGCCACCAAAGGAGCCACCGCACTCGCCTCCGTATCCACCGCAGCCTCCAGGCCCGCCCGGTGGACCACTGGGCGGGCCACCACCAGGGGGACCACCGGGCCCGCCGCAGCCACCAGTGAGCTCACCGAAGCAGCAGCCTCCGCATCCGCAGCCTCCTTTGCAGCCGCCTTTGCCAAGAGGACCACAGCCACCACAAGGACATCCTGTCCACCACAAAAGCTAGTCTTGAACGAATGATGTCTTACAACGCTTCAACAAGGCCTTTCGAGCCCCCACAGCCGCAGCCGCCCTTGCCTCCTCCCCACGCGTAACGTGGCCATGAAAGGCTACTACAAAAGGCTACTACTTAACCGGTGCGGCGTCCTTTCATGTCCCCCATCATCATGCCACTGGGAGGTGGCATGGCGCTGAGGGGCTTCGGCGGACCTGCACCATTAGAAGGTGTACTACGCCCTAAGCGAGCTTACCGCACGAAGAGCTGAAACGACTACATGAACCATGCCTGCAGCTTTTGTGAAGGTCTTGTTTTGCATCTCCTCCTTTGTGGGGATGGCCTGCTGTCACACAGGTCTGACGGGTACCTTACTGGCAAATTCCACAGCAACCGACCTGCATCTTTGGATGGCCTTCCTGGACAGGTTGGCAAGTTTCAGGATAATCCCTCGCCTATCATCGACACCGGATTCATATGGGCGTGCGTTGGTCACGGGTAATGAACATAATTGCAGGCTACGCGGCTGCCAATCCAGGAACGCCCATCATCTTGGGCAAACCCTCCTGAGAATGCACGCGCAAGCATGCCAAGCAACTGGCAAAATCCAATGCCACCCTAGCAGACAAGGCTCTGCAATATTGCAACCGCCAGCACCGGAGCATGGACCCCCTGGGCCGCTGGGAGGACCACCCGTGGGGCCACCGGGACCGCCAACAGGGCCACCAGGACCACCAGGGCCACCAGGGCCGCCACCACAGCCACCGCAAGGGCCAACAGGCTCTGGCTGCTGCGGCGGAGGCTTAGCAGCGAGAGCCGACGTGGCCTGCTCGAGGAACTCCTTGAGATGGAGATCACCATTCCCACACCTTGCCTCTTTTGTGCAGTTACGCCTGTTACGCTACGCTCCGGATGCTCCGGTCCTGCTGTGCCTCCCCAGCAACTTTTGGAAGCCACCTTTGCATGAGCATCTTCAAGCTCATTCCTCTGGCATTATAACACCGAAAGACAGCTTCCTGTGCCGCGGCACTCTGTCATGACCTGCCGCATCTCTTCAGCAGCCTGGTCTTTTGGCAGGCCAGGCATCGCATTCCGAACAGTCTCAATCGCCTGAAGAAACCACTTGTGAAGTCACTTCTGTGTAACTTTGAGCTCACGCTGCTGTCACGAGCCTTCGTAACGCGAAAACGAGCGACTTGTTCTGCCTGCTTCCTGTTTTGGCACAACATGGAGGCGAAGCTTCTTGATGAACCCAACAGCTTGACAGGCAATCATTTAGCTACAACAGGGCATGGGGCCTCTCAAGATCTGTCATCTGATTCTCGGCTTTTTTTAACGCCTCCTCTCGTTCTTTTTTCAAGGCAGCCTCCTTTTCCTGTCGAAGTGGCGCAGGCAGACCATCCCACAGCACAGGCGTTGCAAGCCTATCCACTGGCCTCTCGTGCCTTACGGTCCTGTTCAGCAAGCTGCGCGGCAGCGTTTCGGTGAGTCCAGTTGAACACCTGAAGCATTGACACAAGCATACGCTCCGTTGTCTTGTTTAGGAGATCCAAACTCTTTCAGCGCACCGTGGCAGGTCGCGCAGGCATCACCGGCGCTGGCACCGGTGCTGGTGCGGCTGGCTCAGGTGGCGGTGCCATCACTGGAGGTTCTGGAGCCTGCGCACGACACGCCATGGCATCAGACTGACGGGCCTTGAAACACATGCAACGAAGGCTGGTCCTCCGGTCTTCTTTCGTCTTGTCTAGATTCGGACTTGTCTTTCTTATCCTGGTGCTCAGGCTCTGGCATACCGCAGATGCAAAGGTTGCAGCAACTGAGCGGCCTCATCCTTCTTTGCTCCTAGAACGAAGCCCACCAACGGCCGATCCTTTGACACATTTTTCTTGGCAGCACAGGTCCTAGCTTCCGGGGAGAAGCCGCAATAACTTAGATCATGATATGCCTGGGGCGGCTGGCCGGCTAGATTCATCTGCCGCGCACACAAACAAAACGTACGAGAAGAAAGAAAAAACATCCGACCTACAAGAAAAGGCTCTGGCATCTTTTCTCGGTTCGGATGTGTTTGAAAAAAATCTGCTTGCGGAAAATGGGTTTTAGGGCCGCCGTTCTCCCAAGAAAGTTATAATGGCTTTGGTTCGAAAATGCGTGCTGTCTCGTTTCTTGAAATTCTCACCCACCTGAACAAATCGGCAGGACCGGACTCATCCCAACCGAGTTTGACGTTTGCATCGCCAGGGCATGTACCGGCTGGCACTGATTGGTGGGATTAAGTCATTGGACTGTTGAAGAATGGACATGCAAAACCTGCGCAGGAATCTCGTATAGACTCATGGACAAAACCAGCCTTTGCTTGGCAAGCATCATAGTAAAATGCTTCAAAAGACCACTCACAGGCAGCACCCTTGCCAAAGATTTTCCTAGGAGCTCTAGGCAGATATTTCCTGTCCGCTTTGTAAGCTCCGCCTGCCAGCCAAGGTGCGTCCTCCCGCCGAGGAGGACGCCGATTTCTGGCCTCCTCCTCGCCAGTTCAATCACTTTCCTCACTTATGTCATGCTGTTAAGCCCCGGGCATCCTGTTCAGCATCGGCTTGCGGCCGCTTTGCCTAGTAGGAAGAGGAAGAAGTCCCGTTAAAGCAGCTCTGCTCGACTTCTGAGGCAGCAACTGGCGGCTCGTCGGAGCTGTCACTATCTTCCTGGGCTCCGCGGCCTTGGTAAAAGGTCACTCCGGCGATCGCCAGCCAGGAAACATCTCCCGCCAGGGCACTCGGAGATCTTGCCTTCTTGCGATCTTTCGCTGGGGACGCTCGCCCCTGCAAGTGAGGATACAGATTAAATCATGCCCGGGGTCGTCCTTGAAAGGGCTTTGCACACACTCTGCAAGCCTTGCTGCGTGACCTTGCACTGGCAGATCTTCGGTTGCCATTGTCTCTGTGTCGAGGTTCCTGCATGGAACTCCGTGCACAAGCTTGCCAACCAAGAAGTGCTAACATGCTAAAACCCTTCAGCTGCAGCTTTGAGGCCTCTTTTCGGGGCTTCTCGTCTCGCGCCGCTGGGCCTGCTGAGAATTGCTTCAAGTTGCAGTTTGGCAAGGTCTAACGGTTCTCCGATTCTCAAGGCCCCCGACGTGAAACTCCAAGCTCCTCTGCTGTTTCCTCTATTGCTGCCTGCGCCTCGGCACCTGATCCAGGAGGGTTGTAAACACACAAAATCCACTCCAGCGGCGGCTGGGGCTCCAACGAAGCTCTTCAGCAACGCTCCCTCTCAGCAACGCAGTGCTACTGACTTGCTGCAACTGATGCATGCAAAAACCACAACATGTGCAGGCCTGCGTTCGGCAGCTCTTCCACCATGAACTTCCTGGCTGCACAAACACCCTACCCCTCCCAATCCTGCATAGATGATACTCGACCACAAACACGTTTGCAGGCTCATGGCATGTGCACGCAGAAGACTGGAAACCATGTTCCGCACACGAGAGCAGCGGTTTACTAACGCGTATGCTTAATAGCAAGCGAAAATTATTCTCGCAGCTAAGGTAGCCAGTGACATCAAAACTCCAGCCAAGACTCTGCAGCTGGGCTTTCGCCTGGACAGGCACAACAAACAACGATGGGTTCGGATTCCAGTTTCGTTTCTCATGACAGGACTGTGGCTCCATGAATGCCATAGCACGGCATGTGTGCATTTTGAGTCTGAATGGATAAAGCTGTTCACGTCATTTCAAAAAAGTCACAAGAAAAGCCACCGTCACGAAGGTAACGATTTTAGCGTAAAGAAACAGCGGCTATAGTCACACGTAAGACCGGGAATAGGAAAAGATTCATGCGGAATGTATGCAATGCAGTGTTTGGGAAGGGGATACTTGAAGTTCGCATGGGGCCTGAAGCATGAGCAGGTGGCCCTCAACCCACGTCTGAAAGCACAACCGCTGCAATGACGAGAGCCGCCCACAGAAGCTAGTACATGCAGAAACTACTACAAGCACACTCTGCATCTGTTTGGAATGATAGCATTGATGCTCAGGCCTGCTGTGGAGGAAATTGATGATGGTGAGATGGTTCACTATACGGTTGGTGCGCTGACCTCTTTGCCGCACCGGCTTTGTGGCGCTTTCGTCTTTACTGTCTTGCTGCACGGCGTAGTCGAGTTTTGCATGTGCTCCTGCTGGCGATCGAGTTTGTTCTTGCTAGAGACGATGTTTTTTTTGTCGATGCTTTGCGCCCACTTTGCTTTTGCTTTGGCTGTGGGGCAGGATCAGCAAGTTGACAGCAGGATCCTATTTGCGTTTAGATGTTTGTAGAACTACTACAGGATGCACCTCTGCGAACGTCTTGGGGTTGGACTTGCGAACCTCAGGCTCAAGCAAGATTGCTGAATGCGTTGAAGTACCAGGCTACTGCTGTTGAGTGGCGGCGTTGATAGCTCGAAGAATCCTTAATTCTGCTCGCTGCTGCAGCAGCTCGCGATTCTCCTGGCAAAGCAAACGCGCATCAGGCATGCCTCGTTACTTTCAACAACAAAAACCTGAGAACCAGGTTTGCGTTTGCCTCCTTGGGTGGAGGCGCTTCTGGGCTCGGTGCCGGCCGCTCCTTTGCCAATGAAAGTGCAAGATGAGACCAGGCAGGACTCGAATTCTCCTCCGGAGGCGGTGGCTTTGGCGAGTCCTTCTCCTCCTTCCAGGTCGGAATGATCTGAAAGAAATGAAATTTGCCCTCGGCCTCATCTTCATCTTCCTCCTTGTCCTTGTCCTTCTCCATTGATGCATCCCCATCCTGCAAGGCCACGAGAGACCCCCACCGCATGAACGGCCTGGGTAGTTGACTCATAGGGTCCTCTTCCTTCTCATCCTTCTCCTTGTCCTCGCAAGGTGGATCAATGCGGCTGCGCTGGCACGCAGATCAAAACCACAAGCCGTATCTCTGTGGAGTTTCCTCCTCCCCCTCTTCGTGCTTGTCCTGTCACGTACGGCAAATTTACTATGAGGTGAACACGTGCATGCTTAAGGGGCATCCGTGCAAGCCTCCATGGGCGCATCCTCCTCTTCGGCCTCGGCCTCTGCACCTGCCAAGGCGGCTTCCCGAAGAAACCACGTTGGAAACAGCGCTTCTTCGTCGAATGCAAAAAGGAGCAGACCTTCTCCGCCCTCTCCTTGCTTGGAGCACTGCGACCTCACGGACGCACGCACAGCACGCACAGACGAACTCAGAAGGAGTGGAGCCATGAGTGGTACCGTAACCGCTTTTTTTTTAAACGTGAGCCCAGTGGCAAAGGGCGGAGGCCATGCTCTTTGGCCTTTGCCTCCAAAGCAGCACCAGCCTCCTCTTGCAGCTCTGCTTCCAGCTCACCTTAACAACATGAAGTACAAAGGTTTGCAAAGTGCAAGGGAAGCCGAAGAGCAGTCTCTATAAGAACCACCAAGCATTGCCTGTGAGTGGGAAGTGCTCCGTGAGTGCCGCATCCAAGGCCTGCAGAGCCTGACCGGAGGTCGACATTACGAGTACTGGCCTGAGGCCCTACTGGGGCTAGAGCGGCTGGAATGCTGAGTGACTGCATGCATAACTTCTTGCCTCACTGATGGTGTCAGCATCGCAGCTCTTCATCCCCTTCACCGCTCTTAGGACCTCGAGAGAGAATGCATTTGAAACTTCTGAGCATTCGGTTTTGCTTTGCAGCCCAAGAGACTTTCAAAGATGCCTTCTGACCCACCTGCTGTGGCACATCTGTAACGCTGCAATTTTTTGGCACTGCGCCATGTGCGCCATGTGCCTGCTCCTTCTCCTCCTCGTCCATGTCTTCCAGCTTGGCCTCGTTGGCGTCACCATCAGGGTCCTGCGGCACAATGATCACAACTATACTGCCGTACACCTTTTTCTTCATACCAAATTGGGGTCGTCGCGTCGCTTTCATTTCTTATCCTTCAAAAGGGGTTCCTGGGCATTATCGGTTTATTTTCTTCTTATTGTTTTGTGGGCCCCCGGCACCTTTTGGAGGAATGTTCGGGCTTGACTAATACAACTCCACGTGAGATTGTGAAGAGATAAGTGTTCTGAGCGGAATATCTCCTCGAGGGTTCTATCTGCTCCGAGCTTCTCGAGATCTTCCATGAAAGCCCGGCTCCTGAGAAAGTCACTGGAAGGTTCTAGTTCTAAGCAGAGCAGGGTTGCCGCCCAGTTGCTGTGTGGCACACTCTTCGATCTTGCCTTAGAGGAAGAAGCAGAAGAAGCAAAGAAAGCGATTCTCTTCCCTTCAGAGGTTTGGACGCTCCAGCTCGGCCACTTCCTCCTCCTGCTTCCTCTGCTCCTGCGCTGGAAGCTTACTTGCTCATTGGAAGTCTGGGCCGCTTCATGAAGAAACTCATCTTCCTCCTCCAAAACGGTCTTCGCCGACCGGCTTTCTTCCTGCAGGGCTTCCACCTGGCTGGAATGCGCTCACTCCATCTCGAGAAATTCATCGGCAGGCGAGCCTGCGAATGAAGCTCCTGACTTTTCTGTCGCAGACCAGCACCTGGGTTTCAATTGCAGGATTTCGGGCCAGAGTCCTTTGAAAAAACATATCCATCTCATGCATCGCCATGCTTACTTCGAGCGACGGCGGCTGGACAGCGACTCCTGACATTTTGTCTGGTTAGCTGCATGGCCCTGCCAGATGTCATATCCAAAATTGCTTCTCAGTTTGATCAGTTCGGACGGAAACCGCTCCGGAAGTTGAACGGCGGCAAAACTAGCGACACGGGTCCTGCTCCTCGCCAAACTGACGATCAAACTCGTCAATATCCTTCTGGACTTTGTCTAACTTACCTGCAGCCATCTAGCTACAAGCGCTGTTAGGCGTTGGACTATGTGCTGCAGCATGCCTTGTCTGTCCGCCTCAATTCGGCGAAGCTCTGTCATTTTCTCCTTCAAGGATTGGCATCAGCGCTTGCAAAACCAGTGCGAGTTGATTGATGTAAAAGACTGCAGGGCAGTTTGCAAGGCGGCTGCGCATGCTGCGCCTTGTGACGCCTCTGTTCCTGACAAGCGCAGAGAGTATGTGAATATGTGTGAATATGTGTTGCTCGGCCCAGCGGCTTGGCCTCGGCCATGGCTTTCCGAGTCTCTTCGAGCTCGGACTTGAGCTCTTGCTGTTTCTTCTCCCGACTCTCCTTGGAATGCTCCATGCCAAGCTGCCATACTCTTCGAAATTCACAAAGCTTTTAGCATCTTTCATCCAAGCGGCGGCCTCCTGTCGACGAGTCTCCTCCTCTTCGTTCCACCTTGCACTCACAGACATCATGTGCTGCTAGTAGCAATAAGTGTTAGACACCCAGCAAGATTTCGAGTACGAAGCTCACGAGAACTGACTTGCAAACGAAAGGCTTGGCTTGAGATGCTGCTTCCTCACTCTGCAGTTCCTCGCACTCCGCTTGAAGCTCTGTCAGCCGTCGTTGGCCTCATAGCTCCGGGCAACAGAATACAGCCACAATGTCTGGCGGGCTGTCTTAGATACTGGCGGTCTTCCTCCTCCTGCTCAGCACGAGCAGGGAGTTCAGAAGACTTCTGCACGAGAGCCTGGCCAACCAGCGACAGCTGCTCTGCAGACGTCCAAAGGCATCAGTACTTTAATGCATGTGCAATGAAGCCTGCCTCCTTTTGCCTGCTGATTTCTGAAGACTCCGATTCAAGCGCGGCAATTTGCACCTGGCGACGTGGCATAGCTCAGTAAGAGGCAAGAGGCAAGAGGAAGTATAGCTGGTGCTGCCTGCAGACCTCAGCAGAAACGCACGTTTAAGAAAGCAACTGCATGCATACGTGTGCAGTGCACTTAGCAGAGCCAATGCTGAGAAGGCAGCTCAAAGCCTTGATTTCAGCCTTTAGCAGTTGCCGTTTAGCGCGCCTGGAATGCTGCGAAACTGTCACATGGCACAGGAATCCTCTCGCCACGTGGCAAGAAAAGAGGCGCGTGCCGATCTCTCCTCAGCTTGTCTACAATCTCCTGGCAAAGGCTGTATGAAGTGAAAAAACTGCCTATTAGGCGGACCGCCTTCTCGGATTGCCCTGCTTGCGCTGCAGGCACCTTTCGATTACGCGCTTTTGACACGGGTGAGGCCAGAACTCCATGGCTGCCCGTGGGACTAGCAATGACACATCATCCCACATACTCGTAACACAAGGCTGTGACAGGATGAGGGAGACTTTCTTAGCGACAGAGTTACCAAAATTCAACATCGCTTCAGAAATCGACATCTCCAAACCGCTGGCTGAAGTCGAGCATGCCACAATCTCACGGGTCATCTCTACAAACCATGACCAAACATTAGGCGCTGCTCATATGCGGTGTAGGTCTAAAAAATTCTAGCCTTCCCACACTCATCTAAAGAGCCCATGAAAACCGGATGCCAAAAAAAGTGACCTTGCTGGGTGGAGGCTTTTTGGTGTCTTCATCCTCCTCCTCCTCTTCTTCCTTGAAAGCACGCCCGGCATAAGGATCGCTTCGACATGCTTCGACTAGATTGACTCACTGCAGCTGCTAGAGAACAACAACATGCCAACCAACCTCTTTTTCATCATCATCGTCCTCATCCTGCTGAGATGCTGCATACAAAGGATGAGAAGCCTGTCAAAGGAGCATCGAAGACACTGTGCCTCCTTCTTTTCTTCCTCCTCCTCTTCTTGCTCCTGGATTGATGAGCAAAACCAACAGATGACAGATGTGTTTCGTTGCAAGGTTATAGCTTCCTCCTCGTCTTCGTCGTCATCATCGTCGTCATCAGAATCTCGCTTTCCTGCAACATGCACATGGCAGATCTGCCAAATGCTTCCAGCGCTGGCAGCTCCTTTCCGCTTGCTCCGGGCAGACTTCTCTTCGCCCTTCTTTCGGGTCTTCTTGTCGCCCTGTCGCGCTCGCTTCCTGCACGCTTGGAGCCACATCCGACGCAACTCACTTGTCGGTCGAACATACGCTTCAGTTGTCCTCTTATCTTCTTCAGAAGATTCTTGACCTTGGTGGTGCCCAGCAAGTCTATAATCTGGGTTTCAACGGCTTCACAAGCTCCAGCATTGCAATTCATCCAACTTGACGCTGCCAAGGCACTATCATCCTGATCGACGGTCCTATGGCTTTCGATAAGTGCGCCAACACACACAAAAAAAAAAGGACTTTTGCGGCAATCCAGCGAGGGCTTCCCTGTAGCTCCTGTCATCGCGGCGATCTCCGCGGCGGCCTTCCCTACGGCCACGCTCATCTCGGCGACGATCGTCGCGGCGATCCCTGTCATCACGGCGATCTCGGTCGTCGCGACGATCACGGTCATCCCCTCAGAAAGGCAAACTGTACAACCCTTGATAAAACTTTCAGATCAAAACGCTACTTTGTCCTGCCAATTGAACGTTCCAAGTGGCGCCGCGTCTCGTCTCTGCGTGAATATCTACCTCGTCTTCGGGTGTCGTGGCGTGCTCCGCCTCGACGCCGATCGTCCCGACGATCACCTCAGCTTCGCAGCTTCGCAGCTTCGGCCAGGCATGGCCAGGCCTCGCGGGCTTTGACCCGTTGCAGTTGCTGCATGCTGCTGGGCTGCGTGATCGTGACCGTCTTCGCGACCTAGTTCGCGACCTGCACTGCTTCACCGAAAAGAGGTCAGGCTGCTTCAATCGACCTTGAGGACACGAGCCTCTGTCGCCTGCCTCCACGAGTCTCCTCCTCGTTTTTGGATTTGGCCTCACAAGCATAGCTAACAGCATCAACAGTAACCACCAGACACTGTTCAGTTGGCGCCAAGTCGCAGGGCGCTTTTCGTCTGCAGCTTTTTTCTCTCTGGGAGATTCGCTCTCCTCCTATCCGAAGTCTACTTGAGTCTGGGTCTGACATGCAACTCTCGTGGAAAACAGAAATCCCTCGATCACCCCAAACGACACGTTACCGCTTTCTTCTGGCTTTGCAGTCCAACTCTAACTTGACTCGAATGACTCGAGCCTCGGCATCAGAGCTTGCCTCGGCTAAAGAGCAAACATACACAACAGATCACAGATGAGGGCAGGTTAAGGACAGACCATCGCTTCAGTCAAAGACGCATCTGACTTTGCCTTCTTCTTCCTCGTCGCCATGACGGGGACTATAACTATGCCAGCGGCAAAGAAGTGAGCCAAAACGCTGCAGGTTCGTAGACACTTGTAGTCAGCATTTACCCACACTGAAATTCAATGTGTTCGCACGGGAAGGCCGATGTTGAACTGTTTCAGGTATCGCTGGTCGCGGCAACCAGTCAAAAGCAGTCTCCAGTTCCAACACCAGAGTTGCCGAGACCCAGCTCAGCAAAGTCTAAATGTTTGCGGCCTGGGACTCATGGCTGAGGGCATAGCTGGGCCATCTGCTTCTGGCAGCCCAGAAAGTTGCTTTGCCCTGGGTTCACTATCCTGAAATACTACGTCAGGGTCCCCTGTGTGCAGTCATTGGCACACAAACCCTGACAGGTGTTCCTGTTACGGGGAGCATTGTGCAGAACCATGCCTTGAAGCATTTCAAAAACATTTTTTTAAATAGCCACCTCAACTTTTGCAAGGGTACGTATCACTCTTGCTCACCGCAACAATCAACTGAGCTGCCCTGAGCTGTGAATGCGAGGGGCAGGCACGCAGAACCCGTGTCAACCAAGCCTCTCCAACTGTGACTTTTAGCTGGGGCCACAGAAAGAGTCCTTCAGATCTCAACCAGGCTCCAAAGTCTAACTCAGGTGCCCTGAACGGGCTCGAGAGGCCTCTGTACACATCCAAACGGATTAGAGCCCAGCTAGTACTAGAGCTTTATCTTTGCCGGATCCCAGGAGGAGGGATCAAACATGCTGTGAAGTCCATCAAACATACTGGAAAATGTCGCACACATTCCGCTGGTCAGCTGGGATGCAAGCTCCCCATTACCAACATAATTCTTCCTCCACATCACCCTTGGCTCGTCGGACTCGTAGGACCGTCGGCCGTGGGCAATCGCGCGGTTGTCGATGACGAGGATTTCACCCGGGATCAGCGGCACGACTAGCTGATGGACCTGGGGGTATGGCATGCAAAGACAGGATCAAATCAAAAAAGATTGTTCTTTCTGAGCCTCCTTGCGAGCAATGGCATCCATCTGCTCATAGGAGGGCTTGACTTCCTCAGCCACGTCCCCCAAGCAGCCATCGTTGCAACGCCAGCGCACCTGGAGCCACCCGGAATCCTTGTCAACCCAAAACAAGGGTATTGAGCTGACCTTCATCCAGGATCCATCTCCCGCTGGTCTTCGGCCCATTGACACCATGCCCGGCTGCATCAAGGTTCGAAGCTCCTCATTCGAAAGAGCTGCTACGAGATCAGCTCCAGACACCAGAACAGACTCACCACCTCCAGAGGGGGCGGATTGCCGACACTGCAAAGTAAGAAACCTTGGTCAGCAAGAAGCAATGGTTCGCTGTCAAACTTGTCGCCCGGGCAAACTAAACAACTACAGACCAAATTGCGACCGATAAATGCAGGTTGGGTGCACGATCATCCTTCTGAGGCATTGGGAAGCATAGGATGTAAAGGAGGGCTAAACATACTGTTGAGGGACAGACCTGTTTAAGCAACGCAAACTGTGGAAAATGACCTGTGAGTCACCAAGGAGCGCTGATGGGCTGTCAGTGTATGCGTCGTCTGTGTGTGGCAGATGCTCCTTCTTGGGATTTGCAGTGTTGATGCTCGTTGGCTTCGCAGGATTGATCTCAACAATGCCAAATTCATTCATAGCGTCATGAGGGATGCAACGGCCAAACCATCGGTCCAAAGTCTTGTATGCCTGCAGACCATCATCAAATTCTTCTTGAACAAGAACCGTGGCACCATATCGATTCATCATAAACACAAACTCGTGCTGCTCTTCTTGCGTAATCTCAGCGATCGACTTCACTCGCAGCCTTACACGCACGCTGCCTCACTTAAGGGACCTATAGGCTGTTTGCTGGCCGTTCATCATAAATTGGAAATATTCATGATTTGGTACCGGCTCAGACATCTTTTAAGAACGATCTCAGAAGCCGCAGCGTTTCTGGGTCATTCGGCAACACCTTGACGTCGTCACGAGAACCATCACGTGGCAACACTTCCTCCAAAGGCACCGCAGGCTTCCTGGATTCGCCTGCCACGTGATCTGGAACACATGTCCATGGCAGGATAACATGCAGGGATTACCACATAAACAAACACGCGGGCCCGACAGGGAAATTTAACACCCTTCTCCCGAACCTGTGTTGCTGCTCAGCTCCGACATCTTGCTGAAACATCTCATGTTCATTGGTCTGTGCACCAAATCTTTGGGAAAACGGTTTCCCAAAGCAACCAATCCAGCTGCACGTGGTCCACACAGACGTAGAGCTCGTACAGGCTTCATCCCACCTTATTCCGCCAAAAGATGCAGCAGGAACAACCAAAATCATTTCGGCGGTGTAAAAATGGATTAGAATACATGGGCAACCGCTCAAGCTTAAATTTTCCAAACAGCATTTGTTTCAGTTCAGGCCCCCGCTGATCATACACAAGGACCTTGCAATATTACCGAACATATCGCTACCACGGTAGCTTGAACCACAGTGGCACGCAATAACAAACCCAAAAATTCATGCACAAACTTCGCGCCTGATGTGAACTGGATGTTGCGCGGTCTGGACATCCCTGAATGCCTTCCAAAAAGAAAATAACTGCGCATCTGACACAGAATTATCAAAAGTTGCCACAAATGTGCAAACAAAGAATCTGCACTCAAATTATGTAACGTAAGCCTGAAAAGGAGATTTTGGTTATCCCGAAATGCAACACAAAAAGACGCTGCGGACGCTTTACATCATTGTGTTGCATGTTTTATGTACAAGCGGTTACACGGCCCTTCTTTGTTCGATTTGTGGTGTTATGGTTTTCATGGCAGAACCTTTTTTTCAAACAACCCGTTATTCCAATGTTTTTAAAACGACAAATAAGTATAGGAAACACAAGAGGATCCCCAAGCAACCGATTTGACTCTTCTGGGAAAACTTCGAAGCTTTCAGACGAAAATGGAAACTGGAACACAAATGTTTCAACACTCCACAAACAGCCTTAACAGTAGGTCATTTTGCATATACAAATACAAACACACGTATACACCTATTTGCTATGGTCTTTTAATTCATCAAATCACTCAAACTTATTTGGTTTCATCAAAAGTATCGCGCATATTCAAATCAACGTTTCAGAATATTGTATTCCAAAACACTTGCAAATCATATTTGAAATCGTGGATGTGATAACTCAATCAGAGCATCAATCAGCTCAGCAGAAGACTTCATTTTCCATCTCACGGCGCAAAGGGGTTCAATCTCGGTGAGATGCCACGTACAAGTACGTAGGTGCCACATGCGAAGAGGCACGTGGGAACCTGCCCGAATATACCCCATGGCATTGCAGCTCACACGGGCCAAGTATCCGGCAAGGCAACTCTGGGAACCCCCGCGCACGTCAAGTGACCGAACTCTCCACGACTGGGACTGTCGGACGGATTTGAAGCGGTCGGCACACGGCTGAACCAAGCCCGGCACTTCACCACATCTTCCATCTGGACAAATGAGCGCACTACCTTAGATCCATGCTCGGTTGAAGATTTGCATGCTATGAGAGCACCTTTAGCGGCCTCGTTGTCGAGATAAAAGCAAGAGAAACTATCTCTCAGCTCGTCTTGCCATAAAGACAGGGCCGTCCAAGTGGCTAGCAATTCTATTTCAAAGATCGGGTGATCAGAGAACATGTACAACCGCGTGATCACGTCTTCCGGAATTTGGCCTGAGAAAAAGGAGAGAGGATGTCCTGAGGCGTCGTACAAGATGCCCCCGATCATCCCCACGTCTCCTTCCAAGCTTCCATCAGTGAAGATCAAGTATGTGCTTTTTGGGGTTCTATCCAAAACCAGGGGGTCTCCATCCAAGGCTTCATCTTTGAGGTAAGTCAATGCTGTGCGCAAGTCTTCGCCCAAGGCAAAGTGACCATTCACCCCATTCGCCCTCTTCCCGATCTCTCCAAGCGCTATGCTGGATCGACGCCCGAACAAGAAGGACGAAAACCAATGCAATCTACCCCGAAGGCTTTCTGCAGCTGCGGGTTCGAGCTTGTCAGCCTCAAGCACGCTTGCAAGTGTCTCCTTCAACTCCTGGACCCTCTCGTGTGTGTGTGTCGTATCACTACACGGCCATCGCCAAAACTGCTCAAGTCAACCACTAGTCCTAAAGCCTTGAATTGTTCGGCGAAGGATGTTGCTTTCTTCCCTTCTCGGGCGAAACCTATCCCCAGCACTTGGAACTTGGAACAATCCTTGTGCACAAGACTCGGCTTCAAGGGCGTGACACAGAAGGCCAGCAGAGGGTAATCATCGAAATAACAAACCCAACACAGCCCCAACCCAAATGCACCTAAAAACCATGTGGCGGAGGAGGTCCTAAGAAAACCCCTTACAGAACCGGTGGTTCCAAAAGGCAGCACGTTCGAGCCAAACACTCTGACCCGGTTGGAATCAGTATCAAGGACGCATATCCGAAGCAAGGCCCGATCACTCGGCCTGACAGCATATTGCTTGTATGCTGAAGTAAGATCAATGGTTTTTCCCAGTATCCTTGCTCCCGAGGACCTGGGATCATTCATGGCCCACGTCAACAAGCTGGCCAAGTAATCGATCCCGTGAAGACGGATCCTCTCGGGAAGACCAGTCGTTGAATTGATTCCGCAAGATTTCCCGTGGTCTATGACTCTCGTTTTGGATCCTTGGCGGACCCCAAAGCGGGGGGCAATCAACACCTTGCTGAGGTCTGGAGACGTATCTTCAAACAGCCAGGAGTTTTCCAACTCCTTCTTTGTCTCTGTCCACGTCTCCTTGGCAACTTCGTTGACTTCCAACAACTTCATCTTCTGCAGCGTTGCAGTATTCTTGGCTTTCGCAGATGCCAGCTGGACATCGACAGAGCTTTTAGGAGGGCGCACGTCCGGTTCATGCACACCAGTGGTTGCAATCCACCCAGTTAGGTTGAACCCTTGCCTCATGTCAGACACCAGCGACCTGTCAGGATAATCGTGCTCTCGAAGAAGTTCATCCTCGAGCTCAGTGCTTTTCCCAGACAAGACACGTGCCACAATTGGGTCAAGGGTTGTTCTGGCCTCATCCTCTTTGCTTGCCAGAGCTTCTTTTCTCGCTTGCCAGTTGTTCAAGATTTCGCTGGTTGTGGTTGTCGGCTCTGGGCACCTTCAACCAAGTTGTCAATCAAGCGTACGGCAGACGCGTCCATTTTTTCCGCAAACTTATTCTTGGGATGACCAGCAGCTACCGCCTCCTTAAGGAAAACCTCGGGCGACCTATCACAAGGATTTCTGCAGTCTCGACGAAGTTGGATGGCAAACACATTCCACACACAACGCTTGTGTCGCTGTCTGGCAAAGCTTGGGACTCAGGGTCATCCGGCTGCTGGCACCAAGACCAAGAGGGGCCTAACTGCTGTCTAAGTACCCCAAAAGAAACCCTAGGGAGGACGCAGGCCCGAACCTGACCCCACAAGCAGAGCCTGCGTTCGCACACTCGTGCTCCTTTGGAATAGCACTTCAAGATTTGGGCTGCCCGTTGTTGTTGCTCAAGAGGCACGGCCCAGTGGTCGAACTGACTGTATTCGGGCACCAATGCTGCAAAGCGACGTGATGTTTTTTTCCAGACTAACCTCGTGATTGCACTGGAAGGACCATGCAACGACTGGGGGATGCTCAAGGGTCCGCCTCCCTGCATGACTAAGCAAGCTATTCGCTTGCACAAGAGGTGAGGATAGGCAGCTTCTTCAGCTGTGGGAAAAGAGGGCTTGCCGTTGACCAATCGGGGAGCCCACGAAGAGTGTGGACGGTCTTTAGCACAAGAGCCTGCAACGCAGCAAACCAAGAGCGATTGGACCACCAAAGCGTGTTTTTGTCCCTCTTCCCTCCATGCATGCAATGGGCAAAGTGAACGTTGAACCCTCTCAAGCGTGACAAGGCTGCTGCGATGCACGGGACGCTCCAGAAGAGCGAATTGGTTGGGTTCTCCAAGGAAACAGCGATGAGCATGGAATCTGCGAGTAAGATCACTTTCGCTGTCAGCTCATAAAGTTTGTTTGCTTGTGTGACTCGCAGAAGGAGGTCGGTTCCCGCCAAACGCGGGAACCCGAGTATGTGCTCAAAGCTCCTCAACGGAGCAGGAAATGGAACACCAGCATGCTCAAACGAAGCGATGGGCTTGCTTCTTGCAGCGGAACATGTCTTTGTCTTTTGTCTTTGGAACGCAGACTGTCACAAGTCTAGCGTGGCAACTTCAGGTTTCCCCGGCTGCGTAGCAGCTGTGCACAGAGTGAAACAGAGCGACTGTACAAAACACTAGTTCGAACATCCGAGTATGATAAAACAACAGCACAGCGTGAGGCACTCAAAGACTACTCAGGATACTCACCGCGCATTACGCACTCCATCAGGAGGTACGTATGCTCAGGATAACAATGCAAAGCCAAAGCCACAGCATGGGCCACGGATTTCCGAGTGCATCACACACAGAGTCACATTGCAGCGACAGTACGCAGTATGCAGCACACATGCCCAAAAGTGAGCCCATTGTAGCGACAGCACGCAGCATATAGCACGGATGCCCAAATTGGGCCCATTGCAGCAAAAGCCATCCAACGGAGAGCCATTTTAAAAGCCATCCAGCCAGAGCTGAGCCGCGCGCAGCACACATGCCCAAATAAAAAGTGAGCCCACTGTAGTGCCAGTACGCAGCATGTAGCGCTGATG